TCCTGTGCTGCATCCCATCTGGATGGCTGTTTGTCAGGGGAGATTCTGAATGCTGTTTTGTGGCATGTGAGACCTTCAGGTCATGACCATGAGCCTGAATACTCTGTTATTACCTTCTGTTCCACCTATAAAGAATTAAAAGTTGCTGGTGAAAGCTCTTACATTTCCATTGAAAAACATCATGGTTTTAAAAGAAACCGCAATAGGGAAGTGCCCAAGGGCCTACTGGGGTGCCTGATTGCCCAGAGGTCTCCATCCCTCCAGGCACCCTGCCACCAGAGGCTGCAGACCCATCCCTGGCAGCAGGTTGGACATTCAGCAACCTGGGAAAATGCACTGGGGTGCAAACACTGACCACCCGCACAGGGAGAGGAGTGAGGAGGTAGGAATGGTGTTTGGGAGTCCCCCTGCATCCTGTTTTACTTCATGGTAAACCTCTCTTTCAGCATTTGGAGACCATGAGGAGGATTTTGCAAGGCTCAAGAGGCAGGGGGACTGTTCCTAATGCCAACACCTTGTGCTTTTGCAGTGGCTTTAGCAGGGTGAACATTGGAGCTGGGCTGCAGGGTGAGCCATGGTCAGGGGGTCTGTGTACCCCTCACCAGGTCATCTCAGGTCTTGAGGCACTCTTTCAGGCAGGAAAGAGAAGAGGAGGGGCTGATGCAGTGGGAAAGCCTCAGGATTGAGCATTCAGCTACTAGCAGGCAACTACAGACGCACTACAGACATAGCCTAAAGCTGCTCTCAGGGCAGTCATTTGGGTCACAGTCCCTGTACCCCAGGTTTGGGACTGGGTTCCAGTAGGCACACAGCTTCACCTCCGGGTCACGGCGTGGTTATGTTGGCTGGGAGCAGGGTACAGGGACAAAGGAGTTGCTGCCACTGTTAAGCAACAACTTTATTATTTCAGTTCTTCCAAATATTATACATAGGCTCTGGGCTGGGGCAGGCCATGCAGGAAGGAGGGGATCAAGAGAGCAGGGAAGCTTTGGGTTGTTGCAGAGTGGTGTAGAACTAGGGAAAAATCCTCTCCCAGGCCTCTGCTACCCCTGCTGGGGGTCTGATGCTGGGGGTCTGCTCTGGCTGACCTGGGAGTCTCATGGCTGTTGAAGTGCAGCTGTCTTGTTGCAAGCTGCTGTGTGGGACGCAGGGGGAAGGAGCTCTATGCCTAGGCTGCCCAAAGCAGAACCCTCCCAGTTCCTAGGCCACCAGATAGCAGCAGTGAAATCCTGCTGAGACCTGCTGCTGCTTCCACCTCTGTTTCCAGCCTGGAGAAGACCTTGCATGCCCCAGAAGGAGTACACCTTCCTCTCTCCAGGTTTTTCCTGTTCTTCTGGCTGTCACCACAGCCCTGCAAGTGGCAAGACACACTGCATGTGTCTGGAGCAGGAGGGTCTCACCAGGCACGGGGCTTGTCTCAGATGGACACCCCCAGGAAAGGCTCTGCTATCTCAGACCCTTTCACATCTGCTTCACCTTGTGCCAGCCCCAGTTACCCTTGACGAAATCGCCACTTTCACTGTATCCCAGGACTGGGGTGGGGGGGGTCGCTGGAAAGAGAGTGGGATTCAGCCTTGCCCCACTGCCTCTCTGGTACCCTTCTGAGCCCAAGCTGAGGAGGGGAGCGGGGCGGACACCCCAAGCCGCACGGCATGGGATGTTTTGCGGGCAGAGAATCAAGTGGAGGGCGCAGTGCAGTCCTGCCCAGCCGCCCGCTGCACCAGGGAGGAGGGGTGAGCGGTGCAGTCCTGAGAGGGGCGCGGGGAGGGTCACACGCTGGGCACTAAGGGGCGACCCTCACTCCGTTCCGGGGCACAGCCCGGGTCGTGGCGATGCCGCAGCTCTGGGCAGGACGGGACCCTGGTGTCGTCCCCTCGAGCCGGAGCCGAGCCGCAAGGGAATCCCCGCCCGTGACGTCACAGGGGAGCCCCCCCGCGCCCCCTCCCGGCGCCTGATTGGTCGCGCCCGCCTCTGACCCACCGCGGGCCCTGCGATTGGCTGACGTACGTCGACCTGGTCCCGCCCCCCTCTCCTTCCTGGCCTTCTATTGGCTACTGAGCTGTCACTCCATCCAGGCCCCGCCCCTTATGGGCGTGTCGTAACCTTGCTGCTCCCCGGCGTGTTCACAGCTCACCTCCCGCTG